GAAATGATGACAAAAAACGTCTTGCAGTTGATTTAAACCAGCTGAACGTGAAAGCAACACACATTCATGAACTACATTAAATGGCTCTAATGAGTAAGTTATTTTTAATGGATCAGAACCAAACATCACTAACACTGTATAATGATTCCAAAACAAATTACTTTTTGAAGGAATAACATTAGTCATTGAATTGCGTTGTTCTTTTCTGTCACGATCACCAGCTGGAGTGCCCTTGATTACCACCAGAGGGCACTCTATCTCATACATCTGTCACTCAGTCTTGGACTTCTTTTCCCATAATCCTTTGCCCAGACTTTTCGGCACTCATTGTTTGCACCTGTGTCTCGTTTACCCTGTCTGCACTCACCCTATAACCCTAAACCTAGTTTCCTGGTTCTCCCATGTCTTGGTTTCTGGTTTTGTTTTCCCTGCCTGTTTTTGGATTACCCTTTGCCTGTGTTTTCGCCCTGTTGTTATTGTTTGGGCTGACTGCCCATGTAATGATCTTAGCCTGTTTTTGGACTTTGATTCTGGATTACCCCTTTAATAAATACTGCGTCTGGACACCATTGTGTCTCAATTTCGTGACATTTTCACATTACACTATTTTTTATTGTCGATGTCAGTTCCAGTCAAAACAGGTAGGCTATAGATATTAAACCTGCAAAATATCTCTCGAGCATCAGCAACACATCAGCTCTCAAATCATGACATTGATAATTCGATCATAGTAATCAGCGCTCACGTAAACAAGCATTGACCTTCGGACTTTTGTCGACAACCTCTGTTAAAGGCGTCATATGATGTGATTTCAAGTTTTCCTTTCTCTTTGGAGTGTTACAAGCTGTTCGTGCATAGATAAGATCCCTAAAGTTGCAAAGACTAAAGTCTCAAACCCAAAGAGATATTCTTTATAGAAGTTAAGACTCGTCCACGCTCTCTTAAAACGCCTCGTTTAAACACGCCCCCACATGTCTACGTCATGATGTGGGAAGATTTGCATAACGCCGCCCAAATGTTTACGCAAAGAAAGAAGGCGTAACTTTATTGTTGCTGCCACCAATAGACACCTTCTCAATTCCCAAGAATTACACCAAATACACAAACTAATGTTCTTTTTAGCACATCATATAACCCCTTTAACTGTCCGCTAGCAGAAAATCAGTTAGTCTGACAAAAGGTACAACCCAGCTATAAAAAAATATGTTCTATATGTTTTGGTAATGTTCACATTAAGTTATGAAAACATTATTTCTGAATGTTCTCTGAATATTCAAAACCATTTTTTTGAAAAAACATTATGTGAATGTTAAGGGAACATTCCATTTTATAATTTTACAAACATTATGGGAATGTTACTTTTGAATGTTCTCTGAACATTCTGATAGAAGTAGTAACATTTGAAAAACATCAGGCCTAGATGAATGCCCAACTAAAACATTTCATAAATAAAATGCTCCATGAGCCATGCACACCCCAGTGACAGCTTGGCACCTGAGAGTCTTTATTCCAAAAGAACATCCAAACATCCGGTGTTTATTGAAAGTGAGTGTACTTTCACACACTGTATGTCACCTAGTGCATGGCACCCCAGATGCCATTACACATGTGAAACATACCTGGCACCAGGGCTGGTGCTCCTTTCATGTGGTATTGCATGTGTACTGCGAGGCCCTGACTCCACTATTTCTACACATTGCTCGGCCAACGACAGCCCGTCTCCTAATTTGACAAGAGCACATAATGGGGTTTATAATTAGCCCTGAGGTCATGGAAGTTGTGCTCGGCAGTTCCTGTGCTGTCAGGTTAATAGATATGCCTGCAGGTGATGAGAACTATAGAGGATGAAGAGATAGAGCGGCAAAAGCCTACGGTGCACGACCTGCAGTGTCTTGTGTGGTTTGACAGCCCACATCTATGAGAGCGAGCCAGCCTGATAAAACGCATTGTACTAATCAAATAAAATTGATAAACTGCAATTAGTGTGAATTCGTAATAATATGTGCTTGAGTGCAATTAATTAATAGGCTACTCTTATGAAATGAGAAGCGGAGGAATATTGCATTGCGGGGGAAATTATAACCACTAGTCAAGACTGTCTGACTTCACAAGCAAAGTATAAAATTGAAGAATAAAAAGAGAAAAGAAATAAACACTCACAGAAATACCTTACCATATGTGTTTGTGTGTGTGTGTTTGTTATATTATTAAAGGAATAGTTCGCCCCAAAAAAGAAAATTTACTCATCCTCAGGCCATCCAAGATGTAGATGAGTTTGTTTCTTCATTGGAACGTATTTGGAGAGATTTATCATCACTTGCTCACCAATGGTCCTCTGCAGTGAATGGGTGCCGTCAGAATGAAAGTTCAAATAGCTGATAAAAACATCACAATAACCCTAACCCACAAGAAATCCATGTGACTCTAGTCCATCAGTTAACGTCTTGTGAAGCAAAAAGCTGTGTTTAAACAAATTCATCATTAAGATGTTTTTAACTTCAAACTGTTGCAAAACAGTCCAAAACAGTTCTAAAGAAATATTTTGATGTTTTTATCAGCTGTTTGAACTCTCATTCTGATGGCACCCATTTACTGCAGTGAATCCATTGGTGAGTAAGTGATGTAATGCTGAATTTCTCCAAATCTGTTTTGATGAAGAAATTAAACTCATCTACATCTTGGATGGCCTGAGGGTGATTACATTATGAACTATTCCTTTAAATAGCAATAGGAATAGGCTATTTATACCATTGTCTAAGCAGAACTTTAAAAATCTTCTGAGATTTTTTAAGTTCTGAAACACTATTTGTCTGTGAAATTAATGGTAGGATCCATAAATCTTCTTTGTTCACTTTAAAGGTATTGCGATGTCATTCCTGTTTGTTCATTGTAGTTCTAAATGCTGCTGATCGATCAACTGCCATTTTCCCAACACTAGCAAATGTTTTTCTCACCAGGCTCACAAAGACTCTCTCTGCAGAAAAAAAAAATTATTTTTAAAAAGAACAAAACTCTTGAAATGAGGAGGGCAAAGCATGGATCGAAATCAAGTTCCTTATATTTATTTTCTTTCTATAGCCATGAATAGCAGTTATATGATATTCAGAGACCATTCTGGTTGATATTGTTTATTATCAAGAGATCCATGTTCTTAGGAAATTAAGCATGGACAGTCTATAATTCAGCACATCCATTACAGTGTAATTTACAATCAACTTACTGAAAGAAGAATGAAAGCACTGTCATTATTCCAGATGTATGGCCTTTTCAGAGCTGAGATCAAACAATGGCCTTTAATGAAAAGTCAAGGAGTCACTCACACATAGCACCTATATGGCAATAATATTGCATCCTTCTAAATTGGACCTTAAGTATCAAAATCAAAGGACATGATGGCTATAAGAATATCTCAGAGCCATTGCTGTTATAGCCGGGGTATTTTAATCTGTGAATGAGAGTTTGAAATATTCTCGTTTGTCATTTTTACTGTTTTCCCTATCACGCTCAGACTGGATTATATTGACTATTAACCTTGCGACTGCTGTGACATGATGTTTGATTAAATGGCATTTCAGGTCACCGTTTACACTGTGTGACCGCTAATAAGATTTCTAACCTATTAAAATTAGGGTCTGATGATATAAATATTATGAGAACTAGATAATAGGGCTTTGCAGACCACATCCTTCAGCTCACCGGCTCCTGGTTCGGGCACTTCTGTCTGTGTGTTCAGGGGCCACTTTTGTTTGCCTTCATGAAGCCTCAAACCGGCTTCTGACTAAATTTGCCGTTGTTTTAGTCGACTGCTCTCTCTTTGAACGTAATTACAGTCTTTTTCGCTGTTGCATTTTGCTTGTATACACATATACCATTGATCTATTTCCTTCTCAACCTCTAAGATCTGTTGCTCTTCAGACAGCTATTGCTTTTATAGTGATGGCGCAGTTGGAGTTCAGAGGCAGAAAAGATGAGTGGGATGAAAAAAAAAACATAGTTTGAAGGGAGTCATTAAAAAGACTCTAAACATACAGAAATGTTTCATGTCTAGAGTGCAAAAGATTCCATAGTTTCTAAAATTCAAAAATGCTTCATATATTCAGTTTGGGGTTTTGGAGGTAAGACACTCCAATACTATTATATTTTAAAATAAAAAGGGAGTATTAGATAAAAAATACAATTATTTTATAGTAAACTTAAAAATAAAATGCAAATATTTACTTGATGAATTTTCATCATTTTCAAACTTAAAATCAGCAAGCTTTTATTTTGGCTTTTTAAAATATTATTATTATTTTTTTATTTTTATTTATTTTTTTATTAAATGTTCTGTGTTTTCTGGATTAAACACAAAATGGACGTGACCATTCAGAAAATGGAATGGATTCACAACAACTTATTTATTTATTTTTAATTTAATTAATAAATTTTTATTATCAGCAGTGGTGGAATGCTGTTTATTTATTTAAATTTATTCTCTGATCATAACTAAACACAGATTGGGATGATGGTCTAATGTATTTGATCCAGAACTACAAATGAGTCAATGCACCAATTGAAAATGAGTGAGATGTCTGATAAAATGAATGAAAAGGGCAGGCGATTTCAGCTTAGATTTGTGGATGCAGATCAGTCCTGGTGATAAAGATGAAGGGAACAGTGCCAGACAGAAACTTTTGTGAGGCCAGTATTAATGTGTGGAAGACGGACAGTCTGTGAGCGAAAGATAAAAACATTTCAGTGCTTCTGCACTGTCTTGAGATGTGTTTACTGGGCTCAGCTGTAATAGGAGGTTTTTGTACGGGAAGGGGTTGTGGCAGGGTCATTGACTAAAAGCTTTGCTGTTGGATCCGATGGGAATAAGCATTTGTGTGATGGTTGGTGGGTTTTAATTGCAGTGTTTTTGCAGATTGGAGATGGAACTTCCAGCTCTTATATTGGAGAGGTCGAGGTATCTAATCCTCTGTGATTTTCAAATGGCATTTCCTAGCAGAGGTCACTGTCTGCCTGACCCGCTGCCCCGTTTACCCTTCCTGCAGTGCACATTTCTCTCATCCTCTTTATATGGCTGGACTTTTACTTTTGGGCTTGACTAGGCTACAGCCCATGGACTTTGTAGGGGGCCCCGCCTTTACCTGTTTACTTTTGTTTGATTTGTTCAGTTATTTGCCAGTCAGAAATTATTAGCCGCATTTACACTACGCATGGAAGGGCTAAACGGGCCAGCCGGGGATAACAGCTTCCAACTACGACCTTCGAGGCCATAGCCTACCCTTACCAAAAAGTAGTATACTTCAAGTTTATTTTAGTAAGTATACTTAAGTAAAGTTCAAGTATATTTTTAAGTATACTTTATGTAGTAAGTATACAAATATCAGTGTACTAGTAGTATACTTGTAAGTGTACTATTTCAATACTCCTTGGGACTAAATTGGCCCACTTTCTAGTATATAAAACTATACTTTTAAGTATACTTTAAGTATAACAGTAGTAAACGTTGAGTACACAACTAGTTTACATCAAAATGTTTAGTTTGTACTGCAACTACACTAAAGTGAACTTATAGGTATACTGATAGTTTACTAATTAAATACTTGTAGTAACATTTTTAGTACACTTTGAAGTATAATCTCAGTAAACTACTAGTTTAGTAGTTTTATACTACAAGTATACTCGTAAGTTTTCTTTAAGTGAACTTTACATCATACTTCAAGTATACTACTATGTCCCTATTTAGGTATGACTTTGTATATGTTTTGTTACATGAATATCTGAACATACAAAACATCAAAAGAACAGGGTATCTGCTTGTAAACAAAAACATTTTATTCTAGCTTCATGCATTCTTTTTTAAACACTTGAATGTGG